GCGGAAGAAAATCTGGTTACTGAGAAGTAAAAAACAGAAGTCGTAACACGATCTAGTGAAGAGGCGGAGTTCTGAGGAATGGCTCAAGATTTGTGTGAATTGTTAAGATCAAGAGCGTCGTAAAAAAATTAGGGGTAGAATATAAAGTCCCTATGAAGTTGTATTGTGATAACAAGGCAGCAATTCAAATTGAACATAATCCTGTTCAGCGTGGTCAAACTAGGCATCTTGAAATAGATCGTCATTGTATCAAACAAAAACTCGATCAAACAGTCATATGTTTTCTGTTTGTCAAATCTGCTAGTCAACTCGCTGATGTCCTCACCAAGGCAGTATTGGGCAAAGAATTTCACAACGTGATAGACAAGTTGGGCATGATAAACATCTACTCACCAACTTGAGGGGACTATTAGCCGAGAAGATTTGTATAGATCCCGAGATTGTATGGATATTATTTATTTTCCTTGTACCTCTATAAATGGTTAATAAAACATACATGAATTATTCTTCTCTTTCCCGTGTTCAACAGAAAACATGGCCCCAGATGTATTAATTAGGCCCAAGGAGGGCTCACTTTGACCAAAGGAATATTTCCAATTAATGTTTGATTGTTGCCAATCCGTAATATCATCTTTCATGATCTTCTCTCTCCCCGTCGAAAAAGTAATGATGCTCTGATTTTGGGAGTTGTCTGCCAAAAGAAAATTATCCATGATTTGTAGGGATTCTTGATTATACGACAAAACCAATTTTTCCTATCTAGGTGCAAATATTCCGCCACCATTCCCATGAATCCCGTCGCCGGAGGCCCAGATTTCTCGGGTCTCTGTGATGAAGATCCAACATCCACCGGAGGTAGTTTCATCCCACCCCGATCAACACTCTTCGTTTGTCGGACTATCGCCTTCGCCAGTGAAATAGCTTTCAGCCATTAACCATAAGGAGTATGTTAATCCTTATCCCCTTGTGAAAGAGTATATTGCATGGTACAACCACCAGAGATATGATCCAAACAACCATCAGAGATATTGCATGAGATTCTTTATTTTATTTTATGGATAATATTTGTATTTGGAAACATGTCATTCAACAATCATTGTTCTAAAGTTAGCTAAAAAGGAACTGATGTGTTTGATTATACATATGATAAATTAAATACAACAAGATAAATTAAATACAACAAAATTGTAAAATTTTATAATTTGGAGTCAAACCACTCGTTCCAAACTGATCTACATTCAAATTTCAACATTATTTAAACCGTTAAATCAGACAAAAAATCATAGTTGTTAGAAATTGCTGATACAGATTATTTATGATTGTATTATGTTTACCAAATTTGTTGGTTTTTATTGGGACAATATTAGAATTTACAGAAACTATTTATTTTGGCTTGTTGTGTTGAGAAAAAAAAAGATAATATTCATAAATAAATAAAAATGTGATGAAAATCACATAAATCACACAAAATGTGATTGAAAAAAACGCACAAATTCCTCATATATGATGAAATCGGACAAAATCACCTCAAATTATGATGAAATCGCACAAATAACCACCCAAAAAATATCATAAATGTCGATATCGCGATATCGAATGATATTAACCGTTATTTACGAACGATTAATACATACGCTGATTGTTGAGTTATACAGTTTCAACAAAAAACTTGATTGTATCACGATATTGACTACATTGTATAGTCGTGTTTTTATAAAAGAAAACAAATATATAATGCAATCAATGAATATTACAAAATATCAATTTCAAACAATCTATGAAATTTTTGAATGCAACCAAAAAGCTCTAACAATCCGTAAAAATGATAATAATAATAATAAAATAAAAAGGTACCCATAGAAAATAGAATTTAATTTGTGTATGATGTTTTAGTGCATTTATATCACAATACATTTGCATTAATTAAAACTTCTGAAATGGATCAAACTCGGGGCTTTCAGAGGAGCCTTCTCCACGACCATAATTGCACGACATATATGCATTGATGGCTCTCGTCGATCCACCTAATTCTTCCCCTTTTTCCATCGTGCCAGCAACAGGCGGCGGCAAGGGGACATAATACCCCATCGTCGGTGCCACCAGTGGTGCTGGTGCTGGTGGCGACCGCACCATATGAGCACCTTGCGGCTGCTGATGGTGAACGAAGCCACCATTATCGTCGTCACGCCTAACAAACTGCCCCAACTGAGTCATGGAGCCTCACTCGAGGTCCTGCTGGGCTCGATTCTTATTGAGGAAAACGATGAGGGGATCTATGTAGTCGCCGAAACCCAACGACGTCATTGCCGCAAGCACGTCCTCCGGAGTGACGGTTTTTCGGTAGTCGCGGTGGCACCGGTTGTTCGCGTCAGCAGTAATGAAGTTGATGAACTCGGAGACGCACACTTGGATGGCCTCCTTTGCATCGTCAGCGATTTTAACGTGGTCGGGGAGGACGCACCGCATGATGCGAGCGATATTTGTTGTCGGCATGTATTGGTCTGCCTCTCTTTTGACGCCTTGGTGTTGCTCTTGGTTCACCTCTTCCGGCGTGGCATTGGTTGGGGCGTCCGGGATGTTGACAACATTGGTGGCGGTGGCGACGACGTTGGGGACGCCCCCTTCCCTAATGACAATGCCTGAAATGATATATTTAAATTTGTAAATAAAATATACACATGACAATGTAATAATGACATAATATAGAGGGATGCGATATAGGATCGACATATGCAATGCAATAAAGAAAAAAAAATAATATTTTTCAAATCTATAAAAGCAAAATAAATTTAAAAACTCGGACTTATTCAAAAAAATATGTATAAAATTGAGTAGCCAAGTTTCTGTTATTTGTTGTTCATGTTTTATATATGACCATCTTTTATTATCGTGATTGTGTACAAAAAGCAGAGCATATAGGTATGACGAACTTATGAAGTGGTTTGATTTTTGTCCAATAACTAACAACAAACAAATTATGTAAAAGTCACGTACAAAAAACTCACTTTTATTGCACTAATCTCTCACACACTGTGATATTCTATTATATTTTATAATGCAATTTATGTTTTATTTTATTTGAAATAACTGTATATATGATGTCATTAATATACATACACCGTTTATTGATAAATGAAATACAATTATATAATACATATATAAAATAAATATTCATCGAATTGACAAAAAATATGAGGATTATATTGAATTAATTTCCCCTATTTATTACAACCAATTTTAACTACATTAATTAGAACCCTTTCTGATTTTATCCGTATAGAATCACATTTGTTTTGTAATAAAATAAAGAACTACTCGTAATTATGAAAGAAAAAAAGTTGATTGAATATATTAAAATACTAATTACAATGCATTGGATTATTTTGAAAAAGAAAAAGAAATTAAGATGAAATAAGGAAAATTGAAATCCAATCATTACATGAACAATTTTGTTTTTTTAATTAACGTTTGTTCTATGCTAGACAAAAATATTCAAAATATTATAAAAAGTAAAAGATGTTAAACATAAAAGAAATCTAAATAGAATGTGCTCCACAAAAACGACAAAAATAAATAAAATCATTTTTTATACAATTCACGCAAGGAGATCCCTGAAGCATGAAAAAAATTTACGAACTTGAACCACACCAATTCGCTAATAGAAGACCGATTTGTGGATTTTTTTAAAAGAGTACCATAAAAATTAAAAAACTTTACTCGTCAAACATACAAGAAATCGGAATAGAATGATACGAAAGCGAGAAAAAAAAAATCATTGTTTTACCCAATTCACGCAAGGAGATCTGTGAAGCATCAAAAAGATTTGCGAACTTAAATCGCACAAATGTGCAAGTAAAAGATCGATTATCAAAAAACTAGATCCAACCAATTAACACGTATTTTTTACTACGACAAATAAGAAACGTGAACATAAAAATAAAACACAAATCTATGCACATTGTTCATATAGATTTAATCTTAAAAACAAAATATTAGGAAACAGGAGTGTAATTTTTACCAGATGTGCCTGCTCTTCTGGTGTACTTATGTTCTATGTTTGAGATTCCTCCTCTCTCCATTTCTTCAAGTTTTACTTTTGATTCAAACTGTGTGTTTTTTTCACCTTCTCTCTTTTGTTCACACAAATGTAACAAAATATTTTTTTATGCCTTTTACTCTTGTGCGTGTGATGAGCTGTGAAGTGTCAGAGGCACAATTGCATTCAATATATAGATAAGTGAGACCTTTGAAATGAGTCCACAAGGGTGAAATTAGGGTTATGAAAGGTAGAGGCAAAATGGGCAAAAAATATCAATTGTTGTTTCTAAAGCCTAAGATACACGTGTATGAAGCAAAATTGACAAAAGTAAGTGAAAAAGTGTGCAGAAATTTATTGAAAATCCTATGAGGCAATATTCCATGCATATGATTTTTTACACTCGCGATTATTTATTTATACTAAATAAATGGAATTAATCTTGATTTTGATGCTATCAATTACTTGTCGTCAAATGCTAATATAGAAATAATTCAAAATTTCACTAGGTGGGATAGACACGACTTAATTACCACAGCTATTTAATCCGTCTTAATAGTGAATTGTTGAATTGTTATGACAATAAGATTTTCAAATCTTGTAAAGTTGTAAGAATAAAATTATTGCATTTATTTATTTGCAAGGTTGAACAAATTAATTTTTATATTTTTCGAATTCTAAAAGACAATAAAATATAATATAACATATTGAGGTCAGATGTTTTATTAAGTAAGTCAGATTATACGAGATAGAGTTAATAAAAATTATCCGACTTCGATATAGCCAAATCTCCATTTGCAAGATCTTTTTTTACCTCTATTTTGTGGTCATTGTCAGTTCTCGAGTGGGAACTATTGAATTCAAACAAGTTCGTATTTTGTTATAGAAATTTTACAAAGGAGTGTTGTGTAAAAAGAAAACATTAATTTTATATTAATTACAATTTAGTATGAATGTTTAAAGTCTCATCGTCATCTTTGTATTTTTTTTTTGTCTAGAGTTTACTTGTTTTATTTTTAAATTCCATAATGAACTTAATATCCATGGCCCATGATTGGAAAATACTTGTTAGTGCTGAAATGGTCTTAATTGATGAGGAGGTTGTGAATGATTTGTCATGTTTTTATATAGAAATTTGCACTTGTGATCCCTCAAGTTTATACCGATTTTACATTTGGTCCTCCATGTTCATGGAAAACACATTTGGTACCTCATGTTTTAATAATTTAACACTTTTGGTTCTTCCCATCAATTTTATCGTTAGTCCGTCAGTTAAGAAAAAATTGGACACATGCTTGATCCCGTTATTACTGACGAAAAATTAACGGAAATGACAAAGTGTTGAATTTTTGAAACATAAGTGACCAAATGTGTTTTTTGCGAACATGGGGGACCAAATGTGAAATTAGTGTAAAAATTTATATTTTCCCCTATGTTTGTATCTTAACTTTAAGATTCATATTTTATAATATGGTGGCAAAATACAAGCTACATAAAATGAAATCACTTTGAGTAAATTAGTGGAACGTATAAATGAATGTAATAGTTGTAGTTATAATATTCTAATTCATTACAGTATACAACTTAATATATTGATTAATTGTGTTAAGGCTACAAAATATAACCAATTTCATTGGTTTTGTGCATACTTATTAAAATACTAGTTTTAAAAGGGAAAAATACAAATTTCATCTTTCAATTTTGCAACGGTTTCACATTTGGTTCTTCATGTTCACAAAAAATACATTTGGTTCCTCATGTTTTAAAAATTCAACTATTTTAGTCATCTCCATCAATTTTCCATTACTAATAACAGAATCAAGCATGTGGCAATACTAGCTAATTGACGGACTAACGGTAAATTGACCAAAAATATTAATTTATTGAAACATGAACATGGGACCAAAAGTGAAATCAGTGCAAAATGAGGGGTAAAAACTGTAAATTTCCCACTTTAAAAATAAGCAAATTTTGTGGTTTTTGAATGTAAAGTTTGACTAAAAAAGGGTAATTAATGTTGTATTTCGAAGCAATAAATAAATAAAGTTTTATGATATATAATCTTGTAATTCCTCCCAATTTAATTTCGTTAAGATTAGCAAATAGTTCGATTTCATTATCAAAACCATGTTCCATGTCGTTATTCATTCAAGATCAATACGTTCAGTCCCCCAAGGGATGGCCTAGAGGTTGGAGCAAGTGAGCCTATTTCAATTGTCCCAGGTTCGAATCCCTGTGCCAAAGGTCGGTAGGTGGAACTTGTCACACATGGTTAGCTAGTGGGGTTTACATTTCTCGTATGATTTGCAAGCTATTGTACGAGAGTGTAGGTTTACCCAGTGCAACTTTGGTTGGCTACGGGTTCCTTCATTACCAAAAAAAAAAATCAACATGTTCAATTATTTTTTATATGAAATACGAATTAACTTATTTTTTTATAAGAATTTTCTTTCTTTAGTTCAATTATTTAATAATTGGTACATTTGGTTTTATTAAATGTTTATTGTTTGGGGGTAAATCAGACTATTCCATATTAGCCTATTTTATATTAATGTAATAAATAATTTGAAGTGAAAAGGGTAGATGCGTAATTTCTCAAATTAATATTTTATTCATTTTTCTAGAAAACCCAAAATCACTTTTTGATTCAACGGTTCAGATCTAATCTATTGAAAATGAATAGTAATTTAGGGGTATCTAACCTCAGCCAGTTTTTGAGGTATCTGACGTTAGAAGCATCCTAATAACCGAGTGAAAGAATTCAATGCCTCCGAATTCATGTACTTTAAATATAGAGCGAATGACAAAAAGGCCCATCACATGGGACTTAAATGCACATTGGTCCACAAAAAAAAGTCTCTCAATTAAACCCATCCCCCTGTCTTTAGTCTAAAATACCCTCCATAATATAATTCTTATCAATTTCATCCATTATGCTCTAACTTCCTTAATATTACACATTGACCCCATTTAAACAAATATATCACATTAACCCCCAATATTTTTTTTCAGAAAATAATTTTTTTTCTGAATTTTTTGTTTTCCGGCAAGATTCCGGCGTTGACTTTTTTTTTTTTGAAAACTTTTTTTTCCTGAATTTTTTTTTCCAGTCGGTCAACCACCGTTGACCGCCGGTCTCCGGCGGTGACTTTTTTTTGTCGATATTTTTTTTTCTTAGAAAAAAATATTTTAATTAATATTACTGTCTTGGCTACTAAATTACTGTATCAGACATTAATATTACTGTTTGGGACAGTAATATTATGAATATTATTTTCTCGAACAGTAATATTATTGTTTAAGACAGTTAAATTACTGTTGGAGATAGTAATTTAGCAGCTAAGGCAGTAATATTAATTAAAATATTTTTTGTTTAGAAAAACAATTTAAAAAAAAAAAGTCAATTAACAGTTAAAATACCGTCTCCGAAATAACTGATGGAGACAGTAATTTAGCAACGAATACAGTAATTTTAATTAAATTTTTTTTTTCAGAATAAAAAAGTCATTTAACAGTTAAATTACTGTCTCCGACAGTTAAATAACTGCTGGAGACAGTAATTTAGCAACGAATACAGTAATATTAATTAAAATATTTAACAAAAAAAAAGTCAATTAACAGTTAAATTACTGTCTCCGACAGTTAAATAACTGCTGGAGACAGTAATTTAGCATCGAAGACAGTAATATTAATTAAAAAAAATTTGAAGAAAAAAAAAGTCAATTAACAGTTAAATTACTGTCTCCGACAGTTAAATAACTGTTGGAGACAGTAATTTAGCAGCCAAGATAGTAATATTAATTAAATATTTTTTTAAGAAAAAACAAAATTATAAAAAAAAATAAAGTCAACTCTGGAGACCGCCGGTCTCTGGTAGTGGCGAGTCAAAATTGGGGTCAAAATTAAAATTAGGGTTACAATTGGTTTATTGATAAAATTGGGCTAAATTGGAGTGTAAATCATGAAATTGGAGTTGAATTGGGTTTCAATGAATTGGGGGTAATTTTGGTATATATAAAAAGGATTTTCCTTATTTGCAAATAAGTTTGAATGGGCTGGATTTATTTGAAAGATAAAAAAGTTGCAAATAAGTTTGAATGTGTTGGATTTATTTGAAAGATAAAAAAGTTGAATGTCCCTCCTTTAATTAAGTGCCCTTGTCATGGGCCTATTTGCCATTTGCCCTTAAATATAACTTGTATAAAATCATAGATCTTCGAATAGGATACTCAAAACCTTGCGTTGAGAAATATTATGCAGCGAAATGTAAATGACACAAGTTTTAAATCATTATCTACAAATATAATATAATATCCATGTATTTACATATATGTATATCGGATTTATGTTTATTCTTTACACATAAAATTTCCCTCTATAAAATTTTATTACTCGAAGCAAATCAAAGTTATATGTGTTTTTACATATATGTGTATTCTTTACACATAAAATATCCATATATATTTTAGGGAAAAATACAGTTTGCACTCCTGAACTATGGGGTCTGTCACAAACACCCTCCTAAACTACAAAACGTAATAAAATGACCCCTATAATTTTTGGTCAACGCTTAAGCAACTTACACCGTTAGTTTTCATATGCGTTTACTTCTTAACCCTTAAAATATATTTGAAATGTTAGACCCCATTTCCTATTAATATGCACAACTTTCTAAGCATCACCCCCACCAACAAATCTCCTGGTTTTTTTCTTCGTCATTTCTTAGACTTCTCTCATCCCTCTAATACGGATTAAATTCTCGATTTTTCATGTCAACCGTTCCGGCGAAATTATTTTTCGGCAGAGGTTTTTTCTCCACTTCATCTCGCTATGTTGCTTCATCCCCCTCGAGCTTCTTTTTTAGTTACGGTTTCACCCAGTTCACTCCTCCGTCGTTCTTGACTTCGTGTAGCCTTGGCCCTGCTCGCCGGACCTTTTTGCTTGCAACGACGTACTATTTTTACGTCCTTGGCCGGAGGGAGTGGTGGGTTTCGTAAATTTTAAAGCAATTTTAGATTGATTGCATCTAGATTGAATCTTGGT